ATGCTTGCTATTTTACTTTCTTGATTAGGTCACCGGTACCCTACCCTAGCCTTAAACCTCGCTTAGGGTTTTCTTAGGGTTTTTGTAGGGTTTATGGTTCCTCAAAACCCCCCTACTTCCCCGTCCTCTTCGGGCACCCTGTACCCGAACCACCCCTCCCCCTTTGACGGCGCCCGTGCTAGCCTTGCTAGCGCCGTTCGCCGCTTTCTACCGCGGACTTCCCCCTACGCCCTCCGCTCACGCGGACCTCTTCTGGCCCCCTCCAGTCCGTCATCTCCCCATGGCCGACGGCGCGTCACACGCCGTCGACATGGCGATGACCACGGCATCGGGCTCCACACCCTTGCCGGCGGACCAGGGCCACCAGCCCCAGGGGGATCTACACACCCTCCTCACCTCCCTCCTTGCGCCCATCCAGGCGCAACTCGCGACCCTCRSGCCCATCCAGGCGCAACTCGCGACCCTCGGGCCCTTACAGGCGTAGGTGGCGACCCTTGCCGCCGGCGTGCAGCAACTCCAGGACGCTGGTCGTCCTTCCTCTCCTCATCCTCTCTCTTCTCCTGGCTCTCAGTCCGGGTCCCCAGTTCTCCGACASGGTGGCCACGACGGAGTTTCCTCCTCTGCCGCCCCCGACCCAGCCATTTTGGTGACCGTCCACGCCCCTAGCTTGACGGCCGCCACGAGTCAGGCCCTTCCTCAGTCTACGGGCGCACCGGCCCAAATTCCGGTTACGACGGCCACGGGACCACAACCCGTTACCATGGTCTCAGCGTTTCCGGGTGCCCCGCTCCTCCCCCCCCTTCGCACGACCGCAGCGCCACCTGGCTCTCCCCCCTCTGGGATGCCCCGCGCCTCTTGTGCATCCACTTCCTCCACTCTTCCCCCTGCTACCCCTCGCACGACCTATGTTCGAGGTCTCGAGGACGAGATTGCCCAGCTCCGGGCCAACCTCGCCCTCTTACGCCTTCAGCCAACCCCACCCTCACAGGTGGCCGCGCCTTCGGGTGCACCCCCTACCTCCTCTACCCTTCCTCCCATGTAGGCCTGCTTTCCGCGCCCTGCACCCTATACAACTCCTTCCTACCTTCTTCCTACTCCCGCGGTTGCTGCGACCTCTTCTACCGCAACACCCTCGCAGCCTGCTGCTGTTGCCACCGCTGCTCCCCCATGCGGCCCGGGCGCACAGTGAGCTGCGCCCCTTTCTCCAGGACCTGCGCCGACTTACTCAGCCGTGGCACAGGCCTCCGCTCCTCGATCCCCTCGCCGCCAAAACGGTGGCGCACCACTCATCCGCTTGTCGGACATTGCCTTGTAAGACGGTACAGGCATACGCGTGTCCCGGTGGCTGCAGCCTGCCACCCGCACACTCCAGCTCATGGGCGCCACACCCGAGACTTGGGTGGGTCACCTCTCCGCGCGCCTGCGTGGCGGTCCTTTCGAGGCCTGGGAGGATTTCTATGTCTACTCCCTTCGTGAGGGTCGGACTCCGACCTTCGTGGATTTCCAGGCGTTCCTCGAGGATCGCTTCGGAACACGATACGACGTGACTGACGCCTTCGAGCGTGTCGTCACTACACGCTGGTCCGGCTCTGGTGGCGTTGCCGACCTGGATCGCCACATCCAGGTCTTTCAGGACGCCCGCCTCGTTTGCGACGTGGCGTTCCTCCCCAAGGCTGCCCTTATCGATCATTTCTTGGCCAGCCTTCCGCTCGAGTACCGCTCCTAGCTATGGTGGTACGAGTTCACATCGGCCCCACAAGCTTACGAGGCCGCCAGGGACCACCAGCGGATGCGAGCCCGTCTTCACCCCGCCTCCTCCTCCCAGCCCCAGCGCACGGGCTACGCCTCCTCCTCCTCTCACGGCACTTCCCAGC